CTCTGAAGTTGTCTCACGGTTGCGCTTGTCCGGAGTGAGCAAACGCGGCACCCATCGCGCCGACAGCTTTTTCATGCCCGAAATTTCATGCAGGATATGACCCACGCGATCTTTTGAGATGCCTACGATCTTAACTATCTCGCGCACCTTCAATCGTCGATTTGCCAATACGAGATCGTGAATTTTTGTGACGTTATCCTCCGTGGTAGCCGTTTTCAGAGCACCTGGACGTGGCTCTTCAAAAATCGACGTGCGACCACGTTCAAACTCGTTAAACCAATTTTTGACGGTCGCCATCGAAGGAGAAGAGTCACCGTACACAGCATCCAAGCGCTTTTTGATTTCGCTGCGCGATTTCCCTTCCAAAAACAAGAATCGAATCACCGACCGATACTGCTCTTTTTCCATTTTTCAAAAATCAACGGACACACTTGCTTTCACACGCTCTCAAAAATAAATTACAACTCCAATCCGACTGAAATCTTGACAGTAACCATCGAGAAGGTTGTACTACGTGATAGAATATTTCTTTTGCAAGAGTGGCGCCATCGGATGGTGAGGCTAAGTACTTATCGGACCACCCTCGTATATCAATTTATCATTACGTCATCCGCCAGCTCCCCCGTAACGTAACGTCTCCCGGCAGTGATCACTGTGACGTCATCCGCCAGAATGATCATAGCTATATACTACTAACTTACCATTTTTACAGTTGTTATAATGTCCATTTTACAAGTATTGTTCATCAATAATTAGATTACGTTGAAAGGAAGACCTGATTTATCTTATTACATTAGACGGTGTACTCTGATTAACCTAAAAATATACCCACACTTCCATCATCATGGGTACCCCTCCTAGAATTATCAAACATCTAAATTATATATATTCACGATATATGTTTTCAAAACATTTTGAAAACGTTATGTACAGATGTTTCGATTTTCAGGCTGTAAAAAATTTTATTGAAAAAATCGTTTTCAAAACATTAAAAAAAATATTTTACAACGTTAGCATACTCTAGAAATAAAAAGAATTAGCGGACTTATCCCACGATTTAAAACGTTTATTTTATTAAAATGAGAACACGTATTGAACTTTTACGAAAAACGTTTTCAAAACATTTTTATGTTATTTGGGAATTCAAAAAATTCATTTTTTACAGTGCAATCTAGTACACTCGATGACGTTTCGAATTGTCCGAACATTTTTAAAAATCACAGTAGTGGTGAGTGTAAACATTTTAAGGAAGAATCGTATCAATACAAAAATTGTTGATATATATCTGCATTACCTCTAATTTATATAAAAAATTAGTTTATAATAAAATATATAGACGGCAAATATATATTGATGTCTATTCACCATAATGAGTGTATTCACGGTTAATAGGGAAGGATTAATTTTAGGCTACGATATTATCATTTTTTTAAATCAATTCTTTGCAATAAATTTATTATTGCAATAAATTATTGGGCAATTTATTGTATATGTATATATATACACTCCCGCCCAATAATCTTTGCCCACCTGAGAACAAAACGTCTATAACTTTGAAACTCCATATCTCGGCTGGAAATACACCTACAGAGCTCTGCGGGGGCTCATTTGAAAGGGTTTTTCGAGCACTTTTCAATGGTGTTTATTGAAATCATGCTTAGATATTTCCTTTGCAGATAGGGCGGCGAATATCAAAACAAAAATTACGAAATTTTTGCTTTTTCTTTAACCGCTTGCCATTTCGAGAAAAAAAAATCGTAGAAAAATTCTAAACATAGCATTTTTTAGCTCTTTTTCTGCACTATCCAAAACACTCATTCAAAAATAATTTTCGTCTAAATTCAGCGATTATATGAGCATTTCATTCAAAAACAGCATCTATATTCATTGCTCTGTATCTCGGAAAATTCGAGTTGTAGAAAAAAATTTTCTTGGAAGAAAATGTTCTATTTTGTAAGTAGAATACGTGAACGAAATTTCATAATCATATGAAAACTTTTTTTTTTCAGTCGTAATATCAAGTAGTCTAATTTTTTCAATAATTCACTTTGGAATAATAAAACAGATCATTTATACTCGAAGCTATTCTATTAATTGTAGACAAATTTTAATTGTATGCAAATCTCGATCAACGAAAAATCTAAGTAGAAAAATTAATCTAATCTACCAAAACTGACATAACTAATGATTAGTGAAAATAATTTTTTTTAATGTTGTTCTAATCTTCTAAAAAATTGTTTACCATAGTAACATATTATTGAAGTATGGTACCGAGAGATTTTAGTAAACGTTATCAAGTTATTGGATTTCACATAAATGGTAAAAGCAATCTTTTCCGCGGTCTACCAGAGCGCTTCTTGTCTTCAACACTGCCGCTACTTTTAAATTTATTTACATTGTAGTCTACGGTTCGACGAGGAATATTGAGAATACTAGCAATCTGACGATTGCTTTTACCATTTATGTGAAATCCAATAACTTGATAACGTTTACTAAAATCTCTCGGTGCCATACTTCAATAATATGTTACTATGGTAAACAATTTCTTAGAAGATTAGAACAACATTAAAAAAAAATTTTTTTCACTAATCATTAGTTATGTTAGTTTTGGTAGATTAGATTAATTTTTCTACTTAGATTTTTCGTTGATCGAGATTTGCATACAATTAAAATTTGTCTACAATTAATAGAATAGCTTCGAGTATAAATGATCTGTTTTATTATTCCAAAGTGAAATTTTGAAAAAATTAGACTACTTGATATTACGACTGAAAAAAAAAAGTTTTCATATGATTATGAAATTTCGTTCACGTATTCTACTTACAAAATAGAACATTTTCTTCCAAGAAAATTTTTTTCTACAACTCGAATTTTCCGAGATACAGAGCAATGAATATAGATGCTGTTTTTGAATGAAATGCTCATATAATCGCTGAATTTAGACGAAAATTATTTTTGAATGAGTGTTTTGGATAGTGCAGAAAAAGAGCTAAAAAATGCTATGTTTAGAATTTTTCTACGATTTTTTTTTCTCGAAATGGCAAGCGGTTAAAGAAAAAGCAAAAATTTCGTAATTTTTGTTTTGATATTCGCCGCCCTATCTGCAAAGGAAATATCTAAGCATGATTTCAATAAACACCATTGAAAAGTGCTCAAAAAACCCTTTCAAATGAGCCCCCGCAAAGCTCTGTAGGTGTATTTCCAGCCGAGATATGGAGTTTCAAAGTTATAGTCGTTTTGTTCTCAGGTGGGCAAAGATTATTGGGCGGGAGTGTATGTACACATATAATAAAATATATATATATAATTTAATTTTTTTAATACAATGATTGCAAGTTAATATAATGATTTAAATAATTCATTCATTAAATTGATTTTTATTGTGAATATTGTCTACGCTATGGAATAATTACATTAATTTGTATCGTATTTTCACCAATTCAATTATTATACACACACACACACACACACACACACACACACACACACACACACACACACACACACACACACACACACACACATATATATAATAAAAATTAATAATAATATTGTATATATTGTTTTACATGAATGCTTTCATATAAATTCTTTTGGTGCTATACGTTTTTTAATACACTTTTTCTTTCAAAATGAAATATACAATGTTATTCGAGTTATCAGTAGATGATACAATTAAATAAATTAATAACAGTAAAAGAAACTACTATCTTTACTATTTGATTTAATCAAGTAAAATTCATTAATTATCCAATTTTTATTTTCTAACTCAATATTGCAGTCGACATTAACCGTTTTAATCAATAAATGATACTTTCATTAACTATTTTCGCGAGCCGCCGTCACATTAGATTTTTTAACTATTATTTCCTTACTTAGCAAGCAAATGTATCTGGCACGATTCTGGTGTGTATGTGTATCACCTTTTATACCAATTAGTGCAGAAAATTCTGGTTGCAGATATGTAGGGACGTCCCATGCTGTCTGGGTATAATTATTTATAATAAATTAACATTGTATTAATACATCATTTCTAATATTTGTCTGAAAGTGTCTCTCACAAAAGAAGCAGTAAAAATTAATTGTTACGGTACATAATAAAAAATATTATAGAACACAGCAAATGTTATCACCATCTCGAAGTTCGGTTTTAGCGTAACATTTACTGTTTCGTATAGTGAATTTGTTATTTTAATTTTCCATGTTGGAATTTTTTCTATGGAATTTTGACTTCAGGCAGAGTATGTTTGAGTCTATGGTTCGAAAATTATGATTATGTTACATGCACAAATTCACACACACAATTTATTTATTACGAAATTGTAAGAAATTTTCTTACGCCATTTCTATCTCAATCAGTACTGTAAAAATATAACGTACTTTATCGTAACTGTAACTATTAGGTTATATTTGATAAACGACGTTAAAAATAAAACAATAAACATTTTTATTGTAATATTGATAAAAGGCTATATACTTTGCGATTACGAAGTATGATAAAGTTGTAAACATCTAATATTATAAACTAATGTTTGATATATAGTTTATAGCAATTGTACAATATATATTATAAAAAATATTTGAAATTAAGTGAACAATTCTGTAAGAGGAAGTTTAGGGGATGTTAATTTATTATAATAAATGGAATATAGGAGTTTTTTAAATAGCTGAAAACTTAGTTATCCAGTGTGGTGTCTAATGTAATGAACTGTACGATAATCACGTTATTTTGTTATAGAATCGTTTTCAATTTTTATAAAACACAAATGCTTATATTCTGTCATATTTTCAAAAATAATTACAAATATTAATTAATGACGACGCACAAGATGTATTCGATATCGGTTTTGATATTCAGGAGTCGGTAGTCTCGGTAAGTCGGTAGCGGTACGTCACAAACGTAAGTAGCGCACGCGCACTGGCAAGAATAAAAATAAGTAAGACAGAAAATGAGAAGTATGAAAAAGAGAAAGATAGAGAAAGAGAGCAAGAGCAAGGAAGAAATAGTGAATCGAGAGTAGGGAGTGGGGAATGCAAGCAAGAAGCTATAGGATATAGGAACCAACACAGAAAGTGAATTCAAGAGTCGCGCATTTACAAAAGTACTTTGGGTGTGCTTGAAATAAAAAATATTCAGACAGGTACAATCTTAACAACCGGTTCCAATTGACCATAATCACTAAGTGTGGTAACCAATTACTGTTTGCTGAGAACAGTGTTGTGCTATTGTATTGTCGACAAAATACGGAGTCGGTCGGAATCGCCAACACGCGCATACAGTGCTATATAGCAAACAACGAGGAGTCGCATCAACGAAAACGCAAAATGCCGGAAAACGCACACCATATGAACGGTTATGCTAACGGGCACACGCCACCCGAACTACAACAAGACACGAGCTTTCTCTTCACCTCCGAATCTGTGGGTGAGGGCCATCCAGGTAAGGATTTTTAATCAGAATATGAGTACTCATACTTTTTTTTTAAAAATAGTTTCTTACAAGTTCGATCTTACACACGTAATATGTTCGCATGTGAAAAAATTAAGCTGTAATATAGCTTGTTTCTGGTCATTCTTTTTTTTTTACTAATTCTCTAATCCTAATAAATCCAAACGCGCGCCCTCTTTATACACATATTATTATATAGTGAAAAGTTGCCTGCTCAAATTACTTAAATTGATATTTAACCAAGTTCGGTAGAAGCCTCTGAGTCTAATAAATTCGTCAACGTTACGTCTATCGATGTTCTGGGAAGTGAATGTCGCGTGACATTATATCACCGAATCAGCACAAGCTGAAAAACCATTTTCATGTGCTTGTCTTGCTCGCCTCTGACCCTAAAAAGTCATTTGAGTCGGTGATAAGTGATAATTTTGTTGCAACAGTGCTTGTACTAATCTCTACGTACTGGCACGAGTGCTACTCATGCTTCTTAGTGATAACAAAATTGACTAATGTAATTTTTGTGCCTTTGTTTAATTCTCTATAACTTGTTTTCTATGGTTACGTGCCATTTTTATTAGAAAATATTCGTATTGTTAAATTTCCTTTTTCATAAAGAAATATGTTGCTAATATTAATTTATAATTATTATTAGCAACTAATGTAAATACTACTAATACAGTAATAACTAATATAATAAGTACTAATATAAATACAATATATATCAATATTCCTAATTTATTTGTATATAATATACCATTAATATATGATTATTTAAACTTTATATAATTATTGATTCATATTGAACTAATTTAACAATTTTTACATAAACAAAATTTATTTCTTTATTTACTTTTCATTACAGATAAAATGTGTGACCAAATTAGTGATGCCATACTTGATGCACATCTTCAACAAGACCCAGATGCCAAAGTGGCATGTGGTATGTTATTTGTAGATGATATTTTGATGTTCTATAATCTTTTTATTTTATTACGATTAATTTTTTAATTTGAAATATTCAGAAACTGTGACAAAAACTGGTATGGTTCTTTTATGTGGAGAAATTACATCAAAAGCTGTTGTAGATTATCAAAAAATTGTTCGTGATACAGTAAATCATATTGGTTATGATGACTCATCAAAGGGTAAGTTAATTTTAATTAATTTATTTTTATAGTCCGATAGTGGGTGATTTTGCTTAGTTATGTGAATCTGTTTGAAGCCAATTACTAAATTTTTTAGCTTATGAAATTATGCTTTTGAAAAAGGTTTTATATTTTAAGAAACCTGTATCAAGATTCATGCTTAGAGAATGTTTATCAGATATCATAAGATATTGTTGCAATAGGTACTTTTTTTGTTAAACAACATTATAAAAACATTATAAGGAGTTTTTTTATAGTATTTTTAATTTATTTAAGAAGTCTTTAAGTACAAGATTGTCTTATATAATTATATTTCAAATTTTTATTTTATAAATAATTAGATTATTTAATAAACAATAGTACTAAATTTGTTATAAAAAATATTATATTTCATTGATTGTAAAATATACAATAAAAGATTATAATCATATTTTTTAATTTATAAATAAAGAAAGAATGAAATTTTATGAGTTTTTTTTAAATCTTTGTGCAAATAACATATACTTATGTTCAAAAATAAGAAATTATTATCCTTGTTTGTATGTGAGTACTAAAAATTTAGACATATATGAAGTATATCATGGATATCGATTTGTAAAGTCTAGTTAAAATGATATATTCTCAATAATCCACAATTTTACCATAATTGTTTCCAAGATGTTTCAAAAATAATTCGTAAGAATTATCTTATATTGCAGGTGTTCTAGTTTATCTTTGTTTTGTTTGTCAGTGCAGTGTAAATAAATTCAAATCTAATTCCATTTTTTAAAGCATCGAGTCGTGTACCTTTTTTTCTTAAATTATAACTTCGGTGTCATCAAATTAATACAAATTAATCAAGTATTTAGTTTCATTTCTTATAATTCAGAGTTTTTAATTAAACAAATCCTCTAGATTGGATGGTATGATTCTATTTTAGTATATAACATGGTAAAAGTATATAAAATAATAAATCATTTACACCAAAGTATAAATTTAGTAGATTACACTTACATTAAAGATCCTTACATATTAATGACAAGAAATGTTTAAGTTATCATTTTTTGAATTATTTGTTTTTAAGAATATCATTAATTTTTCTCATAACTATTATATGAGCTGTTATTCAATATTAAATTAGATCCCAGTTGAGATCGTTCATCAGGTTATTATACAAATTTAGATCTCGTATGAGTTCTTTTATATAGACGATATGACTATGACGTTATCTAAGAAAATAAATCTCAAAATGTTTTAAATTTTTTTAAATTTGAACAAATATTGGTCACAAGCATACATATTACATGAACATTTTCAGAGACTTATTTTTAAGCTTAGTGATGCATTATATATAGACATATTATCTATCTGCCTATTGAAAAAGGTATAAACGTATAAGTCTCTTTCAGAATAATGTCTTTATCATACCATTTATACACAAGATTTCAATTGATATCTTATATTAAAGTACATGTCATAGTTATATGTAAGATTTCACCTACAAGATTTTAGGCAGACATTTTTAGATGGGTCATAGCTTTATTTATTGATTTGAGTCATTTGTATGGTATGATCAGATACCCCTATTTGGTTTCCTTAGTAAAGTGAAAATATGAATTCTTTAAAAAAATAAGACACTTGACAAAATTAATTTACTTTCTTTTATTTATCATTTATGTTTTATTTAGTCTACTGTTAATATATTGTTAATACTGATTTTTTTAAATTAGTTTAGAATATTTGTAAATGTAGGAAAAATAGCTTTGATAAGTGTTAAGAAGTGTTCTTAAGAAGTATTAAGAAGTGTTTCTTTTTTAAGAAGTGTTGCCAAAGTCTTTATAGTATTTGATTGTAAAATTATTATTTTTATTTTTTTATCACTTGTTTATTTCTATTCTTGTCATAAAGAAATTGATGAATATTATTATTGATGAGTTGAATAAAGTTTAAACAAGAATATGATAATCTTATTTTAAGTATTTCAAGATAGACAGAAATTACTAGACAAATAGATATTTGAAAACATTAATATTACTTTTCAAAGTATACTAGTGTCGTAAAGCGCTGCACGAGGTTATCTCTTGTTTGTTTTTATCAATATTCAGTTTCATACTTGAATCACATCAAAATTATTATAAGTGATGAAATAATAAAATTTTCAATTACATTACAAACATAAAACAATTCTAGGTTTTGAAACACTTGCCATACCTCGATATTAATTAGTAAATAAAAATGCAATTATGTTAATATTCGCTGATATAAATAATTTCAAATCAAATAACATAACAGATGTTTAGATATTTACCTATCTAGGTAAATATCTAAATTTAAATTATTTTAAATATAATTGCATCAAGTTTTCTTTTTGGTTGAAGAAAATAGAACCGTGAGCTATGTCTAATAATTTAATTTTCTTTATTTTTTAACATATTCTACATTGGAAAGAAATACATAAATTTTGTACATAATATATACGAAATTTATACTAAAATGTATAAAAAATTTGTACAAATCTTGTGTAATACTCTTATAAAGTTTGTACACATTTTTTTTTGAAAAATTATGTATAAAATTTGTACAAGTTTGGTACAAGTCTTGGACATGTTTTATATGAATTTCATAAAAAATTTATACATTTTGTAATAAATAATCAACTCTTTCCTAAAAATTAAATAAATAATTAATAAATGCATATTATGAATAAAATAACGTGGGTAGCTTCTGTAGAAGATGAACTATATACGGAAAATGAAAAATAAAAGAGAATAACCGACCTGAACGAGACTTAAACCCGAGATCTTCATATTACTAGATTTCTACTTTATCACTTAAGTTACTCATGACATATGATTTTTCATATAAAATTTGTATGATAAATCATGAATTTGGAAAGGTAGAACTATTTTATTCATACACATTTTCCGCTGGATAGCTACACACACTCACTCACACACGCACATACATACACTAAGCCTTGCTTGCTTCACTTGCCAATCCCTTAATTTTTACAAAAACATAATTTTAATGAAGCCATGTAGCTTTATTAAATTAAAAATTATTTGATTTAGATTGGAGAGTTCATCTGGTAACTCTAGTACTCATAATTTTTATACAGAGTGCCCTATTTTAAAAGATGCACCTGAATAACCTTCTTGGAATGCATTATTTTATAAAACTCTCAAAGTATATTTGATGAATTTTCAAAAGGGCAAGACAATGCTGATCTTGGATTTAACCTTGAAGATCATTTTCAAGGTCATTTGGAAGTAAACTTTGTTTTTTTCAAGAGGATGCTCTATTTTTTATTGCAGATACAGAAAGAGTGGAACATTTTAAATCCAAAATTTTTTTTAGTATGATGTCAAAGTAGCAGCTCAAGTTCATAGGAAGGTCAAATTAATTATTTTTCTCAGAATACATTATTTTACAAAATTGCCAAAATATGTTTCATCAATTTTTAAAATGGTGGTACGATGGTGATATCGAATTTGATCTTGAAAATTATTTTCAAGGTGATTTGGAGGTAAACTTTTTTTTTCAAGAAGTTGCTCTATTTTTTTATTACAGATTCAGTAAGAGGACCGAAGTGACAGTTCGAGGTCGGAAGATCAAATTGTTTAATTGTCAGTTAACATCCTTTCCTTATTCAGAATTATCAGTTCACCTTTCTATCAATCCATTCTCCGTGAAAATTGACTTCATTTTAATCTAAAAATAGAAGAGTATCTTCCCTCAACTATTACACTTTTCCATATCAATTTACATACTTACCTTCGCTGAAGATTATTACATAGACTATTCAAAGAACGAGAAGAAAAATATGGATAGATAGAGAGAAAATGTGGCACCGATTTAACTTGGGACTGCTGCTGCTAGTAACGCTTTGTTTCGATGTTTGCTGTTTTTTGCTTGTCTTTTACTCTCGCCTAGGCTGCTCGTTCAGGGAGAATCGTTGGTCCCGGTACCTGTCAAATAGAGAAGAAATGGTCGCCCGGCACCGTTGACGCACACTACGTCGATTTCTCTCACATACCGGTATCTAGGAAAAATAGTGACTAGGCGTGACCCAGCCACCACTCAAAATTATTAACAGTACTCAGCACAATACCCACATAGCCTACACATCGGATGTATATCCGTAAAAGCAGAAAATTTCCAGCGGGATCACGTACTAAATCAAATGGAAACTTTCGAGGATGGAAAAACAATGGATGCGTGTGGCTAATTAAGTTGCTCCTTATTCGTTACTATTGGTCTCTAGCTAACTGATTCCTTGACAAATAGGCTAAACGCACAGCTCGCGTCTTTCTCTCTTCTTGTTCTTCGCTCTTCCTCTTTGTGCTATCGCTCTTCTCCATTCCGTCGCTCCACTCGAATTCGTTAATTGCCTTGCACCGCTCTTCAAACAGAAAAGAAAGGCACGAGAGTGTGCAGATACGCATACTCTGAGCTTGAACTGGCGCGCGGACTTCAACGAGAGCCCCAATGAAGAGTATTGGCCGAGCTGTTATTCTCCGTTACAACTTTTTTCACATCAAACAATAGTGCTCCAACGATTCTGATGGTCAGTTGGAATCAATGTGGATTCTCCGTAGATCAATAATGAGAATTGTGTCCATTCAACTAATCGGTGTTATGGAAAGTTGCTTCATCAGAAAACAAGTCATCTGAAAAGATGTGGATCATGATGCAACTGTATTTGAGCCCAATTACGGAATGCTAATCTTCATTGTAAGTCTTGAAGGGTTAATTTTTGAGTTGAGGTTATGTAATAAATGTGAAATCTATGAAGTCTAAGAATTCTTTGAGCCATTGATCTCAGGATGCTAGTTTGTTGTATAATTTGTCTTAAAAAATGAATTTGAATACTGGTATGAATATCGTGAGTATACACCGATACTCTCAACAATTTTGTTAAATATTTTGAATTCGAATCGCATATGGTCTTATCGTATATAGATGATTCTTTTATGAAAATACCTACTGAGCGTGTTTCATACTTTACAAACAGTTATTTA